GTGTTAAAATCAATTAAATAAGTATCACAGACTGGAGTAGGAACATTATGATAATTCTTATTTTCTTTATGAATTAAAGGTGGCTTAATTGGCACAAATTTGTTATAAAAATCATTGTACGTAGACAGCATATGATTGACTGGTTCGAATCTGGAGTAATCACGGTGTCGTACTGGTAGAGATAGGAATGCTGTGTCTCTTGTCCAATGCCGTGGTGTTCTAATATTGATTTCGTTCATAATGTGTCTCGATGATGTATGCCCGCATAACACATTATGTACCATTGTAATTTGAGCTATCTTTCTTCGTTCCGCAAGCGTTATCATTTGCAATTCCAGCAATCGACATTCGTATGGTGGTAACTTAAATCCATGGGACCATTTCATTTTACGCAGTGCAAATAATAAAAACTGCTTTTGAACGGACTCAACTGGAGCATTACTGGGAACGAAGTTCAAAAGTGTTTTTCGCATTCACTATTGTGAAAATTTATTTACAATAAGGAAAAATATCGCGTCACGACTTTTGAATTTGATCTTCAGGTCAAGCTTTAAAGCGTTTTGCCTTCCAAAAGTCGTGACGCAAGATATTTTCCCTTATTGTGAGTAAATTTTCACAATAGTGAATGCGAAAAACACTTTTGAACTTTGTTCCCAGTAATACAGCGTCCTAGCCTCACTCAAAATGATATCAGTCATTTTGAGTGGTAAATCCACGCACAGGAGCGTCACTCCATTTCAACCTCGTCTAGAGGTTTTTCATCTGATATCACTACTTTTGTAAGGCTTTTTTTGGAAAAATACATTTTTACCAGAAGTTTGTCTATTTTAAGGTCTTATTATCAGGAGATGTTAGATTAGACGTAAAACTTTTCTTCAATGTATCACCTCTGGATAAATTGAATGATGACTTTTGCAGTCATTAGGGCCGTTACTACAGTGTTAACGCTTCAGTTGGTCTTTCATTTTTTACACGTTTAAGTTAGGCTATATTGGACCGTTTACATTTCGGCTACCTATGCATTTCCATGTATTGGTTAGGTTATCTTGTGTCAATGCTTTTTAGACCAAATTGTTATACCAATCGAGAAAGACTATTACAACTATTTATTGTATAAAATTACCATATATTGTACAAACACAAAAAGATCAGGTTTTTCACGACTCTTGGAGTCGTTTTCCTTCAAACCAAAATATTCAGCCAATTTTTGGCGGTGTGAAATAAATAAATTAACTCAATTGAAGTGCAAAACGATCTAAACGAATATCCTTATCGTGCTGAAAACAGCATATCAACTCATAGTTGTTTGATTGTTCCCGACGCTATGCCTTCTTACGTCAACGCCAACTGGTGCAAGAACAAGTACTACAAGCACAACGTACGTCAAATTCAAAAGCTTGTATACAAATATATACATTTGTCAATTGCTTATTGAGCGATTTTCTGTTCTCAAGAAATATTTTGAGTTTATTTTTATTAAAAAGCGCAAAAAAAAAATTTCAATGCAAGAATTTAATCTTGTTATTTTAAAACGTAAAATCAGACATTTTTCTCGTGTTTTTGCGTGTTTTTGTCAACACAAGAGTAACTTAAGAATTGCGAACAAATGTCAGTTCATTTATTGACGTTCCACGTTCCGATTGTTTCAATGACAACATGAAGTGACATTTGTCGCAGTTATTCATGTTGATGAAAACACGTGAAAACACAAAAATTTCATTTAATTTTATATTTTCTAAAATATTAGAATATTGTTTTTTATTGAAACATTTTTTTTGAGTTTTTCTCTTCAAGTGATTGCTATATTTATACAAACGAGTTATTTCATTGTGTGGTTTGTGTTTGTTTTGGTTTGTTTATTGGCTGATTCATGTTGACACAATAATTCTAATAGTGATATGCTGTGCAATTGAGGCTTGAAATATTTTTTTTCTCCTTTGGAAAAAATATCAATGGAATAAGAGAGATATCAGTGTAATGCAAGCAGATTTTTATGTTTTTATGTGAAAGAACTACTATTCAAAACAGGCAATAACAGTATACCCAACGTGTAAGCTTTTAATACTATTGGTATACAACGGTTGTATTACATGTTCTTACACCAGTTGGCGCTTCTGGGCTCATTTATATGAGAACTGTCAAGAAGGCGCAGTGTCGATTGTTCCATTGAGTCGAAGAAACGTAACGTACTGAAAACGTTACAATGGAATTCACAACTCAATTGAAGTGCAAAACGATCTAAACGAATATCCTTATCGTGCTGAAAACAGCATATCAACTCATAATTGTTTGATTGATCCATTGAGTCGAAGAAACGCAACGTACTGAAAACGTTACAATGGAATTCACAACTCAATTGAAGTTCAAAACGATCTAAACGAATATCCTTATCGTGCTGAAAACAGCACATCAGCTCATAGTTGTTTGTTTGATCCATTGAGTCGAAGACACGCAACGTACTGAAAACGATACAATGGAATTCACAACTCAATTGAAGTGCAAAGCGATCTAAACGAATATCCTTATGGTGCTGAAAACAGCACATCAACTCATAGTTGTTTGATTGATCCATTGAGTCGAAGACACGCAACGTACTGAAAACGATACAATGGAATTCACAAGAAAAAGAGAAAAACAAATGAATTGAAAATGGCCTACGAAATTCTAATTAGCAAAAGATGATGTGTGCTCAGTGCATACAATCTAAGCACGATTGCACAAAATGGCTGTCAGCGATGTGGAAAAATACACGACCGAAATCATTCACTTTGAGAACTCAAAAAAAAAATTTCTCGCTCTCTCATACACTCGCCGCGGCCGTTTCAGAACACCGAAAAAGAGAGATAAGTTAGCACCGTTTTTTATGGGTGTGATCCAAATGATCGCGTTAATGTGTGTGTGTGTGATGTTTATTTTTACTTTGTATGGACTTGGTATTTCTTTTCCTCTTTCTTTTCACTCTCGCTGTGTTTTTGCTCTCCGAATTTTGGTTTCGCTCGTTAATTAGATACATACGTTTTTTTGTTCCGTTCTGCTCATTCAATACAAAAAAAAAGGTGACAAAACCCCATTATATTTGACGATTTTCACAGTTCTATAGGTGAGATTGAGAGTAGTGTATGTTTCATTGACTTTGTTACGAAAGAGAAGAGCAAGTTTCTGTCGACTTAAAAATGGTTAAAAGCGAGTATGTTCGTTTTTAGCGGGCCCTCGCGGTTTTTCACGGTTTCTGCGGAACTGATATGAGATAACAACTTGGTGTCTTCGGCAGAGTTGTAGCACTTGAGGTCTTCTATAACATTGCTGAAGTCAGCTATCTCTTATCTCTTATCAGTTCCGCGAAAAGCGCGAAAAATGATAAGAAAAAAAAAGTTCTATATAAAATTTGCTTTTTTATGTGCGCGATTTGCGCCTAACTGATAAGAGATAGCTGTCTTCAGCTTAGTTATAGAAGACCTCAAGTACTACAACTTTGCCGAAGACACCATGTTGTTATCTTTCATAAATTGCGCGAAAACCATGAAGACCGCGGAGGCTAGACTGTACTACAACATACTCTACTTTAACGCCAACAGAATCATCAGAAAACATACTCGCCTTTTCAAAAATATAAATCGAAGAAAAAACATACTCCACTCTCAATCTCACCCATAGAGTTAATCGTTGTAATCAATTACGTCGATGTTGTGAAATGTTGTGACGGGAACAGCATTTCATTGGCTTTCTCTTGGCGCTATTGAAGTGACTTTACTCTATCTTTCTCTTGTTCCTGTGTAACTCTGTCAAATAGTTGGGCTGGTTTGTTTTTATTTCACTCCTTTGTGTGTGCGCTTTTGAGAATGTCCATTGCAGTAATGCTATAAATAGTGTTATTTATTCGCAACACACGAAAAATTAAGCACAACACAAACACATCACCATAAATAAATAAAAGATTTCTGTTTCGGAAATGAGTTGTTTCAATAGAAAAAAATATAATCTCTCTCTCTCTCTCTCTCTCTCTCTCTCTCTCTCTCTCTGTGTGTGTGTGTGTCTCTCTCTCTCTCTCTCTTGTTTGCTGATGTGATGTATTGGTAAATGGTCAACGCTACACTGTATCGTATCGTTCATCCAATATTATTATTATTATTATTATTCTGCACCATACAGCGTTTCTTCGCCAGAGGTGGTTTATTTAGCATAAATAAATCTTGTTATATTTACAACATTTACAATGGGATGATTAATTCTATTTGACTTTACTCTCTCCAAATTCTGTTTCTCTTAAAATAATCAGCTACTCTCTGTTTAACAGTATTTGTACTTGTGTTAAAATCAATTAAATAAGTATCACAATTCGGAATAGTAGTAATATTACATTCATCTGGTAAATTAGGCGGTTTGATAGGAACAAAGTATTTATAAAATTCATTGTATGTACTCAATATAATTGATAGGTTCAAACTTGGAATAGCAATTTTGATGCGTCGGTAATGAAAGGAAATCTGAGTTTCTTGTCCAATGTCGCGGTGTTTTAAAACTTATTTTGCTCAATATGTATTTCGATGAAGTATTTCCACATATCACATTGTGGACAAGTGATATTTGTGCTATCTTTCTCCGCTCTTCCAGCGTAATCATTTGTAATTCAAGCAGTCGGCATTCGTATGGCGGCTTCCTGAATCTGTGTGGCCACTTCATTTTGCGCAGTGCAAACAATAAGAACTGCTTTTGGATCGATTCAACTCGTGCAATTTTTTCATCGGTGTATGGGTTCCAAATTTGGGAAGCATATTCCACAATCGGCAATACGAATGTGAAAAATAATTTCTTTATTGTCCATGAATCATCAAATTCATATCCAAATCGTTTAATCCATGCTAAACGTGATTTCGCCTTGGCTGTAATATACTCAATGTGTGCATTAAAATTCAATTTATGGTCAAGTATCACCCCAAGATCCTTTATCACGTCAACTCGATCGATTTTTTCGTTGCCAATGGAATATTCGAAGTTAAACTTCAGGTGGCCACGATGAAAAGACACAAATTTGGTCTTTGATACATTTAGCTTTAGCTTGTTCCGGTTAAAGTATTCAACAAGCCTATTCAAGTCAGCTTGTAATTCCAAACAGTCATCATAATGTCTGATTTGTTTCCATTGGCGAGTGTCATCAGCAAACGACTGAAGTATCGAGTTTCTTATGTGTTTTGGTAAATCAATGATGAACAACAGAAACAATGTAGCACCAATCGGGTAACCCTGACCAGTTCCCGATGTAACTTCAATGGGGCTCGACATGTCATTGTTCAATTTAACAATCTGTTGGCGACCATACAAATACGATTTGATCCACTTGAGTAATTGTTGATTCAGTCCCATAATATCCAATTTGCATATTAGTAAATCAATGTTGACCGAGTCAAAGGCCTTCGCAATATCCAAGTAAATTGCATCGGTTTGTATTTGGTTTTTCATTCCTAAAATTGCACACGATGTAAATTCAGCCAAATTTGTAGTTGTAGATTTTCCCTTCACAAATCCATGTTGACTGTTATCAATAATATTCTCCATGTGATAATTAAGGTGTTTGGCAACGATGGAATCAAGCAACTTCGGTATTACACACTGCAGAGCTACACCACGATAGTTTTTAACTTTAGCTTTAACACCGCTTTTGTGCACCGGTCTAACGAATGAACTTTTCCAAATTTCAGGCACAAATCCAGTGTCTAATGATTTCTTCAGCATGTGTGTTATTGGCTTCAACAGTGCTGTAGTACATTCTTTGACAAAAATATTTGGTATTCCATCAGGTCCAGATACCATGTTGTTTGGAAGGTTATTTATCGTATCCATAACCAACTCCTCAGTAATGTTGATATTTGGAAAATTAGCACACAGATCCTTTAGCAATGGTTCATCTTCAGAATAATTCGCATTTTTGGTATAATCCGGTTCAGTGTACGCTTTGGCAAAATGTGTTGCGAAAAATTGTTCTATCTCACCTCGGTTACTACTTTTCTTATCCCCAAGAACCATGCATACATTAATTTATAAAATGAATTCCGGGCGGACTCTGCCTGCATTTACAATACACGTTTTCAAATATTCATTAACGAACCTCACCAAACTATGCTATTAATCCATTTCGGGTACAACGAATCCAAAAAAAAGACGAAAAATAATTTCGAATGTCTAAAAGTCGAATTTTGGCGGGAAAAAAGAGAAAAATGGATGAGACCCGGAAAGTCATACTTTCGCTCTATATAATCAGATGAAAAACCTCTAGACGAGGTTGAAATGGAGTGACGCTCCTGTGCGTGGATTTATCACTCAAAATGACTGATATCATTTTGAGTGAGGCTAGGACGCTGTATTATTATTATTATTCTGCACCATACAGCGTTTCTTCGCCAGAGGTGGTTTATTTGATATAAATATTATTTTGTATATTTACATTATATTAAATTAATTAAGTTGCTATATTTGCATAAAATTTATCACTCTCTCCATAATCTATTTCTTTTAAAATATTCATTAATTCTCTGTTTAACAGTATTTGTACTCGTGTTAAAATCAATTAAATAAGTATCACAGACTGGAGTAGGAACATTATGATAATTCTTATTTTCTTTATGAATTAAAGGTGGCTTAATTGGCACAAATTTGTTATAAAAATCATTGTACGTAGACAGCATATGATTGACTGGTTCGAATCTGGAGTAATCACGGTGTCGTACTGGTAGAGATAGGAATGCTGTGTCTCTTGTCCAATGCCGTGGTGTTCTAATATTGATTTCGTTCATAATGTGTCTCGATGATGTATGCCCGCATAACACATTATGTACCATTGTAATTTGAGCTATCTTTCTTCGTTCCGCAAGCGTTATCATTTGCAATTCCTGCAATCGACATTCGTATGGTGGCAACTTAAATCCATGGGACCATTTCATTTTACGCAGTGCAAATAATAAAAACTGCTTTTGAACGGACTCAACTCGAGCAATCTTTTCAGCGATGTATGGGCTCCAAATCTGTGAGCCATATTCGATAATCGGTAGTACAAATGTGAAAAATAATTTCTTAATTGTCCATGGGTCCTCAAAATCTCTCCCAAAATGTTTGATCCATGCCAATCTTGACTTTGCTTTGGCGGTAATGAATTCAATGTGTGCATTGAAATTCATGTTTACATCCAAAATGACGCCCAGATCCTTCATCACTTCAACACGGTCAATTTTTTCGTTGTCAATCGTGTATTCAAACACAAATTTCAGCTGTCCTCGGTGGTATGATATGAATTTAGACTTCTTGACATTCAATTTCAGCTGATTACTTTTGAAGTATTTTACAATCCTATTTAGATCAGCTTGTAAGGCTAGGCAATCTCTTATCAGTTCCTTGAAAAGTGTGAAACTATGAAATCGCGTTTTTTACGTTTTCGCGGCTTTTTGCGTAACTGATAATAGATAACGACTTGATATCTACGGCGAAGTTGCAGTACATAAACTAGTCTACAACACTGCTACAGACACCAAGTCGATATCTCTTATCATAGTCCAGTTTTGTGTACAATCTATTACCAAAACTGTCGAAGCATATGCAACAAACACAAACGCTTCTTTTGTACCGCCGCTTCCTG